TTCAAAATTTCGACCCGAAAAAAAACCGACAGTGTTACCCTTTCGTTTTTTTTCATTTTCGGGCGAAAAATTAAGTTTCTCCAATCTTCTCAAAACTCTGGATTATGATAGAGGGCTGTGAGACTTTGACCTGAGTGCAAAAATGGAGGCTCTAGACCCTTCCAGAGCTGAGATATCAAAATTCAAAATTTCGACCCGAAAAAAAAAACGACAGTGTTACCCCTTTCGTTTTTTTTTTTTTCGTTTTTGGGCAAAAAATTAAGTTTCTCCAATCTTCTCAAAACTCTGGATTATGATAGAGGGCTGTGAGACTTTGACCTGAGTGCAAAAATGGAGGCTCTAGACCCTTCAGAGCTGAGATATCAAATTCAAAATTTCGACCCGAAAAAAAAACGACAGTGTTACCCCTTTCGTTTTTTTCGTTTTTGGGCGAAAAATTAAGTTTCTCCAATCTTCTCAAAACTCTGGATTCTGATAGAGGGCCACGAGACTTTGACCTGAGTGCAAAAATGGAGGCTCTAGACCCTTCCAGAGCTGAGATATCGAAATTCAAAATTTCGACCCGAAAAAAAAAACGACAGTGTTACCCCTTTCGTTTTTTTTCATTTTCGGGCGAAAAATTAAGTTTCTCCAATCTTCTCAAAACTCTGGATTATGATAGAGGGCTGTGAGACTTTGACCTGAGTGCAAAAATGGAGGCTCTAGACCCTTCCAGAGCTGAGATATCAAATTCAATTTTCGACCCGAAAAAAAAACGACAGTGTTACCCCTTTCGTTTTTTTTCATTTTTGGGCGAAAAATTAAGTTTCTCCAATCTTCTCAAAACTCTGGATCGATAGAGGGCCACGAGACTTTTGACCTGAGTGCAAAAATGGAGGCTCTAGACCCTTCCAGAGCTGAGATATCAAATTCAAAATTTCGACCCGAAAAAAAAACGACAGTGTTACCCCTTTCGTTTTTTTCATTTTTGGCGAAAATTAAGTTTCTCCAATCTTCTCAAAACTCTGGATTCTGATAGAGGGCCACGAGACTTTGACCTGAGTGCAAAAATGGAGGCTCTAGACCCTTCCAGAGCTGAGATATCGAAAATTCAAATTTCGACCCGAAAAAAAAACGACAGTGTTACCCCTTTCGTTTTTTTTTCATTTTCGGGCGAAAAATTAAGTTTCTCCAATCTTCTCAAAACTCTGGATTATGATAGAGGGCTGTGAGACTTTGACCTGAGTGCAAAAATGGAGGCTCTAGACCCTTCCAGAGCTGAGATATCAAATTTCAAAATTTCGACCCGAAAAAAAAACGACAGTGTTACCCCTTTCGTTTTTTTTCATTTTCAGGCAAAAAATTAAGTTTCTCCAATCTTCTCAAAACTCTGGATTATGATAGAGGGCTTTGAGACTTTGACCTGAGTGCAAAAATGGAGGCTCTAGACCCTTCCAGAGCTGAGATATCAAATTTCAAAATTTCGACCCGAAAAAAAAACGACAGTGTTACCCCTTTTGTTTTTTTTCATTTTCGGGCGAAAAATTAAGTGTCTCCAATCTTCTCAAAACTCTGGATTATGATAGAGGGCTGTGAGACTTTGACCTGAGTGCAAAAATGGAGGCTCTAGACCCTTCCAGAGCTGAGATATGGAAATTCAAAATTTCGACCCGAAAAAAAAACGACAGTGTTACCCCTTTCGTTTTTTTTCATTTTCGGGCGAAAAATTAAGTTTCTCCAATCTTCTCAAAACTCTGGATTATGATAGAGGGCTGTGAGACTTTGACCTGAGTGCAAAAAATGGAGGCTCTAGACCCTTCCAGAGCTGAGATATCAAAATTCAAAATTTCGACCCGAAAAAAAAACGACAGTGTTACCCCTTTCGTTTTTTTTTCGTTTTTGGCGAAAAATTAAGTTTCTCCAATCTTCTCAAAACTCTGGATTCTGATAGAGGGCCACGAGACTTTGACCTGAGTGCAAAAATGGAGGCTCTAGACCCTTCCAGAGCTGAGATATCAAATTTCAAAATTTCGACCCGAAAAAAAAACCGACAGTGTTACCCCTTTCGTTTTTTTTGTTTTTGGGCAAAAAATTAAGTTTCTCCAATCTTCTCAAAACTCTGGATTCTGATAGAGGGCCACGAGACTTTGACCTGAGTGCAAAAATGGAGGCTCTAGACCCTTCCAGAGCTGAGATATGGAAATTCAAAATTTCGACCCGAAAAAAAAAACGACAGTGTTACCCTTTCGTTTTTTTTTTCATTTTCGGGCGAAAAATTAAGTTTCTCCAATCTTCTCAAAACTCTGGATTATGATAGAGGGCTGTGAGACTTTGACCTGAGTGCAAAAATGGAGGCTCTAGACCCTTCCAGAGCTGAGATATCAAAATTCAAAATTTCGACCCGAAAAAAAAAAACGACAGTGTTACCCCTTTCTTTCGTTTTTGGGCGAAAAAATTAAGTTTCTCCAATCTTCTCAAAACTCTGGATTCTGATAGAGGGCCGAGACTTTGACCTGAGTGCAAAAATGGAGGCTCTAGACCCTTCCAGAGCTGAGATATCAAATTTCAAAATTTCGACCCGAAAAAAACGACAGTGTTACCCCT